GGGAGCCATTTGTAATCTTTGTCATCTACTGAGTGTTGGAACCAGCCAGCTTTCTTGGTATACCTTGTATTTTCTTGCCTAGCCAGCTACTTTCGTTTAGACTTACACTTTATTTTTATGGATAAATCTTCCTCTCAGTTTACTTTCTCCATTTATTCTTCCCATGAAAGAATAATGCCTACCTCTTACTATAGTATCAATCATTTGGAAGCACTTTTCTGTTGTTATTTTGGGTAACGCTCTTGAACAACTCTAAATGGCCATCTCTTCAGTGCATTTTGTTTTTTTTTTAATCCTTACCCGAGGAGGCTATTTTTCCAGTGACTTTTAGGGGGAGTGGAAGGGAGGAAGGAGTGGAGAAAGAGAGAGAGGAGGGAAAGAAAGAAACATCGATGTGAGAGAGACACATTATAGGTTGCCTCCCACGGGAGGGAGACAGATATCTATGTAAGAGAAACACTTCCATTGGATCCATTTGTTGTCTCTCACACTGTCTGAAACTCTAAACACTGAACAACACTGTCCAGGGCTTCAGTGCATTTTAAAAAATAATTTATTCCTTCATTCAGAAACCTTTATGATTGGTTCACTGTCTTATTGTTTTTGTGTATCTAGTGTGTGTTCTGCTTGCTCTGGTGTCCTAAATGACCTTTTGTTTCATTTTATTAAATTACTAGAGGCCTGGTGCATGAAATTCATGCACTCGGGGGGGGGCGGGATTTCCCTCAACTTGGTCTGTGCCCTCTCACAGTCTGGGAGCCCTCAGGGGATGTCCGACTGCTGCAGAGGGGGGAGAGCCCCCTGCCACTGCCGCTGCGCTCCCCAGCCGTGAGCCTGGCTTCTGGCTGAATGGTGCTCCCCCTCTGGGAGCACACTGACCACCAGGGACAGCTCCTGCATTGAGTGTCTGCCCCCTGGTGGTCGGTGCATGTTATAGTGACTGGTCGACTGTCTGGCCCCTGGTGGTCAGTGCTTGTCATAGCTAGCAGTTGCATGCCCTTAGCATACCATTAGCATATTACGTTTTGATTGGCTGAATGGACGAATGGACAACCGGACACATAGCATATTAGGCTTTTATTATATAGGATAATAAGGCTTGTAACAAAAAGAGTAGTCCTCTGGGCCCTTATCTTCATCATTTTTTTTTAGAGGTAGTTATTTTTCGTTTATTCTTTGATATTTTCCTCTAAATAAAATCCATATACACTTTTTGATTATTTTTACTAACTTATTTTTTGTTGTTTTTGGGGCATAATCATTTATTAGTATCTCTGTTTTGTTTTCTTGAATTTGCCACTTTTCAGTGAGAAATCCTTCTGTTTCCTTTCTGGAGTTTATGTGACTGGTTCTCAGAGTTCTTAGGACTAAAAGAAAAGGAGTTCTCATCCCATGCATATGCTTTTTATCGATTTTTAGACAATCTCCCTTTTTAGCATGGTCCCTCTGGTCCAAAATTCTTCTGGTTTAAGCTCTCCAGAGTATACCCTTCAGTCTTTTACCGGGATGAATGTAGGTTCTCACTTGCACGCCTGCGTGAAGTAAGGGAAAGGCTCTGTAGTCATTCGATAGACTCTGAGTCACTCATCTTTTTGGCCTCATCTGCATTCTTGTCCTCTGAACTGCCTGGTTCCTTTAATTTTCTTTCCATGGCTCATTGCAGATCTACTTGCTTCTTACTGTAATTACCCGTGGCCACTTTTCTTTGTGATTGTCATCAGTCCATCTTTTAACTTACAGGTAATAAGAACAGGAGGATAATATTAAAGCAGTTCACAACAAAATTGAGGGAAGGTACAGAAATTTTCCATATACCTTCTGCCTCCATTCCTGCATAGCATCCCCCAGTATCAGCAGTCCCCACAGAGTGGTACATTTGTTAGAATTGACGAGCCTCCATTGACACATCATAATCACCCAAAGTCCATTGTTTACATCACCAAGATTATTTTTTACTAGCATCTTTTCTCCATTGTTGAAGTCTATAAAGATATAACTATATTTTTTAAAAATCTAGGCTTGTGGCATTAAAAACAAAGTATAAAGAGGCTTTTCTTAAGGAGAAATTATGCATAATTAAAATATCTGAGAAATGTAGTGATCATAAAAATGTGAACTAAGTTCTTAATAGTTTTAGTCTCAACCAAGATACTTTTGTGTAGGTATATGAGAATATGAGATTTTTATTAGAAGAGGTTTTAGGCATCTTCTTCTGATTGGAGTCTTACATATAACATGTTAAATATTTAAAAAGACCTACCATTTTTGATTCATGGTAGAGCCCTAAACTTTAGTAAACTGTTGAAGCAGCAGTTGTATAAAATAATTTGAAAACAAATTCATATTAGCCTATTTCTATTTTGCTTTTGCATTTTCCAGAAACTAACTCATTTTTTTGTTTCAGTTCCGAGCACCATCAGGAATCCTTGAGAGTATCTTTCAGGCGCTCTCGTCTGCTGACCACTATCTTGGTTGTTTATATTTCTTGAAAAATTAGCACAAAACAAGAGTCTGACTGTGCAGACTTGAGAGCTAGGGGAGGGTATTATTCCATTTTGTATCCTTCTCATCGTCTAACATAATGATTGGAGTAAATTGCCCACTGATTATAACTTCCTGCAACCGCAGATGATGTTCAATATGTAAGGTAGCTCAGCTTCCTTTGTAAGGACAGATGTGATCCAGGCCTTGCCACTTTCCTTATTTCTCTTAGATTTGGTTTTTCCCATATGTAAATGGAACAGTAATAATAACTATTCCATTTTTCAGGTAAGGGAATAATGAATAAATAAACTAGGCATAGTGAATACACTTAGTAAGTACTCAGCGAATGTTAGGTGCCATAATAACTATTACTATTGCCATTACTGTTACTGCTATGTTATACAAATATTGTTGACATCACTTAATTTTCTGAGATGCTGCTGCTTAAGTTTTTTGTTAAGGCTTTGAAAATGTGATAAAAATAATGATAAAATCAGAAAAATACATACCATTTTAGAAACCTGTTCTGAGGATAGGTCACTTCAAATATCACTTCAAATGGAAACAATACAGGTGGTGAATATTGGAAAATAACAACCAATCAATACATGTTTATATAATAGCCAAATAGAAATTAGTAAATTAATAGTTGCTGCTGAAGTAGGAGTTAGTATGTAAGAAAGTATTTTTTAACCTGTTGTTCTTTAACCATTTTCATATCAAATAGTGTATTAATTAAACTGCAGATTCCTGGGCCACATCTTAGGAAGATTCTTGGAGGATCATGGGGCTTATTGAACACACTAAAGTTTGAGAAAAAGATTTCAAAATAATTTTTATATATAAAAGCCTAAGCAACTAAACATCCGGAACCACCGGTCATGATGGTGCACACTGACCACCAGAGGGCAGACACTCAGTGCAGGAACTGCCCCCTGGAGGTCATGCACTCCCACAGTGGGAGTGCCGCTCAGCTGAGACCCATCCCACTGGCCCCCAGTCTGGCAGCAGCCACTCACTCCCTCAGCAGTCCTGCAGGTCCAATCTCTGGAAAACTGGCCAGGCACCAATGGACCAGTGCCACTGGCACTATCCTGACAGTGCTGTTGGCTTCCTGGAAGTAGGCCTCAGGCAACATGGCTGCTTCCACTCCCTAGATACTCTGCAAGGAAGAAGCAATATAAAAGCAACTGCCTGGTGGCTCTTGACAACTGGCACGAATGTCAGGGATGGATCCAGATCAGGGCGGGCAAGGGCGTCCCACTGTCCACCTGGAGGGCTGATTGCATCCAGGTCCCCCGGACCCCCCACCCCACAACCCACCTGTGCACGAATTCCTGCACTGTGCCTCTAGTGTTTAATATATTTATCATAGAAATTTTATTGTTTTCTTAATCATAGTTAGTTCTGCTTAAATAAGTTTCAAATATGAAGTATAGTATACATTTGATCAAAATGTGAAATAGGGAAAATAAGGGAAATTATGTTGGTAGGTATTTGTGAATATCGGCAAAATGATTGGTAAAGTCTTCTGTGATGGGATAAAGTTGTATTTAAACACTTTCACTAACTATAGGACTTTGAGTAAAAATTACTTAACCCCTCTATGCTGTTGAATAGCAATCTGAAAATGAGGATAATAAACATTTTTATAATGGGCCTGTTATGAGGATAAAATGAGATAACGTACGTGATACATAAGTCCTCAGTAAATGTTAGTTGATTAGAGTTCGTCATCAGTAGCATTATCATTGTAGTAGTCTGCAATATTGTCAGAATAATGTTCTTGAAGAGTCTCTGCCTGATTAATTTCACCTACCCTTCAGGGCCAAAATGAGTTTCTCCCATTTTGAATTATTTTCTCTACCATTTACTTCATGGTAATTATTCCCTTCTGTGCTTTTATGCCCTTTAGCAAATAGCACATAGTAGAGATGTTAATATCCACATTTTTGATAATTAATATAGAATACTATTTCTTATATATACATTTTGTATGTTAATTGTATTTATAAGATAATGCATTTTAACTTCGGAGCTGTTTTGAGCTATCTTATTTCTCTTTCCTCACCCTACCTGACTAAGATAATTTGAAGAGGTCTGTTTACTCTGGAAGTTTCCTGTTTAAATTAAATGTCTCTGCCTAAATGAAACTAAATTCATAAGTTAAATTTTCTTCAAAACTGAAAAATCTTAACCTATATTCTAAAGCCAAATATGATTTTTAACATCTTCTGTTTTTTAAAAAAAATATTTACCTAAACTATTTACTTTATTTTTTGAGCTTGACTAATCAAGAACTGACTATGTGAATATAGTTATAAGAGTTCAGACCATTTATTTTAAAATTTCATCCTTTTACCTCCTAAACACTAAACTATGAAACCTACTAAAAATACTGTATGAACATCTGAGGTAGATAATTAAAGTATAATTAAGTTTAAATGCCTTAGTGAAGGAGTATAAAAATTATTTAAATTCAATCGGCTAGTACATTTGCAGTTTTCTTTTATTAGGTGTGAAATCTAAGAATCCCCTGCCAACTCTTGAGGGCTCAATCCAGAATGTTGAATTGAAGTACTGCAGCACATCATTGGTCAAATGTGCCTCTGGGACCGTGGGATCAATAAAAATTTGTGCCAAAGCCCCAGGTATGTGCAGCTGGACCGTGTAAAACTTTATTGCCTGTATAGGAGAATTGGCCTTACATTTTACAAGGAGCGTTACTGAAACAAGAATTTACTCATTGTTCCTATGAATCAGAGGTTTTAAATTTTTTTATTTTACTTAAAATTTTTTATTAATTGTGCCAGGATGATACCTGTTAACTTTAATAAATTAAGTTTTATTTAAGGAAAAAGTTTTAAGAATGGTTATAAGGGAGAAAAATTAAAGGAAAGTTTATTCTTATACTTTTGGGAAAAATAGTAGGTATAGATATAAATGACATTAAAATTAAATTAAAATGTTGTTAACATAATAAAATTAAATAGAAAATCCAGTTGTTTTTCTATTTAAGGTTGTAATTGACTTCACTTTCCTATCAGTACTTTACTTCATAATATTTCCCTTAAATTATTTGTCATTTAATTTTTTTCAGTACAAGCTAAATTTGTAGGTAAGTTTAAAGATAAGGTACAGATTCCATTGAATATTTGAAGCATTGTGTGTTCAAGTTGTTTTCTTTATAAGTTTTTCTAAACATGTTTTACATTAGCTAAATATGAAAATGTATTTTTTAAAGAATTAAACATGCTTTTAATTTTATAATTTTTAATATAACTACATGTACACTTAAAATTACCAAATATAGTTGAAATGTTATAATGTTAGTATATTTTAAGATAAGCATCCTCTAGCTACTCCTATATTTTATTTGATAAGATTTTTTTTCATTAATGTTTCTATTCAGGTGAGAGTGGAAAAGAGAAATTGATTCCATTGCTTCAAGGTCCTTCTGACACTAAAGACCTTCATAGCAGCAAGTGGCTCAATGAGAGTAGGAAGCCAGAATCCCTCTTAGCTCCAGATTTGATAGCCTTTACAGTACAAGTTCCCCAGTATATGGACTACTGCCACAACTCTGGTGAGTACAAACTTATCTTTATTCTTTTAGTTGTTGTTTTTTTAAAATTAAGGCTTTTAAAATTAGACTTAAAAAAAACATTAGTGTTAATTGTACTCTCTGCAGTGGTACTCTTTAAAAATACAAATGAAGTATTTTTGTATCATCTTCGATAAATAATGTAGAAGCAATAACGATTTTATTTTATATGAGAGAATTCAGTTGTATGAATAGCAAACTTAGAATTCATACTACTAAATCCAACTGAGTTTTAAAATATACCAAGTAATAGGTAGAAAAGAGTAAAAGAAATATAAAACACTGGAAAGAGAAACCACTTTTCATGGGTTAGTAGTACTTTGTTACCCACAGTTTGCCATATTAAAATTAGGTGTTTGTGATTCCTGTAGCTTTGCAAAAAGGAAAGATGTTGATGGTGGAACCAAGAAAAAACTCAGAGGTCAAGATCTTATTTCTTGAGTTATATTCTTCTCTGGAAGCACTTTTCCTGTAATCTACTTCATTTTATTCAACACCATAATAGCAGAGCCACACTTTTCGTGTAGAGAGGAGGTATCAGAAAGGTCAACAAAAACTGCAGGAAAAAAAAAAGATATGGTTACTTGAGACCAATATCAGCAGTATTCACACTAATGAAAGAGAAAATGCAAATTGACTTTACCTCCACAATGCCCATCAGCCAATCAGGAGTGAGTATACAAATTAACCCAACAAAATGACGGGTTAATTTGCATATGCAGGTGCCAAGCAGCCGGGGGCGGGATGCTTGAATTGTCGCCATGGTGCAGGCATTCCACATTGCCCCAGCTGCTTGGGGCCTCTGGGCAGCCTGGGAAGGCACAAGGGTGTCTCCGGGCGAGAGGAAAGGCAGGAAGGTGGCTCTGGCTGTAGCGAAGGCAGGGCCAGCAGCCAGGGGAAGGAAGGCCTATTCTTGCATGAATCTTCATGCATCAGGCCTCTAGTGTGGTTAATACAGCCAAGGTGGTCACTCAGTGAGACTAGAAATAAGATAGCTATATACAGATTTCTTTAAAGGATAGGGCGTCTGAAATTTTTCTTTAGAATTAACTGGCCAAGTGAGGAAGAGGTTTAGAATAGTTGCCTAAGAGTAAAGTTCTGTTAACATTAACAGGTATCATAACTTACAGGAAACATGTTAAACATTAATGTACTAAGTTCAAAGTAGAAACCATGAAAAGATTTGTAATTAACTGACTAGACAGAGGCTAAATGGATATTCAAATATTCAAAGTGTTGCACAAGTGCATATACACAGGGATACAGAAAACATTTGAAAGATGAATATTGTTATAGTAGCATTTACAGCTGAATGGCATCCACATTAGAAACTGGACATATTATTTGAAAGGTAAGTCTGAGGACCCACTGTCAACAGGCTGCTAAAGACACAATCCTCAAAAAGAACTTACCAGCCTGATGAGGTATAGAATTCTAAGGAAAAAATGTGAGGATGAGGCAAAGACCAAACTAAGAATGTGGTTACGGGTAAGGTTTTATCAATTTTTTAAAACAAGGTTTGGTAAACATTTTAATAAAGGGCCAAATGACTATTAGAATTTGTGGACCATAACCTATCTCAGCAACTCAGTTCCGATGTTACATCACAAAAATAGCCATAGATAGTATGTTAATAAATGGGTGTGGCTGTGTTCTAATAAAACTTTAATTCCCCAAAACTGGAGGGGGCCCTGGCCAGGTGGCTCAGTTGTCGGAGCATCGTCCCATGGACCAAAAGATTGCGGGTTGGATTCTCGGTCAGGGCCAGTATGCAAGACAACCGATGTTTGTTTCTCTCTCTCTCTCTCTCTCTCTCTCTCAAATCAATAAAAACATATCCTCAGGTGAGGATTAAAAAATATATATATTAAAAAAAACTGGAGGGGGGGCCAAATTTAGCCTGTGTGAGTTAGCTACCTCCTATTTTAAAGAGAAGAGATTTGTGGTTAAATAAACATCAGTTTGTTAATGCCTATTTAATAGTGTTCCTTAAATATGCTATCTGCTAAACTTCTTTATGTAATTATTCATATAGTAATTTTTGATAGGTTTTGTTTTCAAATCATCATATCATTGAAATGTTATTGAAATGACCAGATCACATGGTTAGAATTTTGATATCTAAGAAGGGAGTAAGCTTGTTTATGTCTACCACATACTCTTAAGTTGGAGAGGAACTCTGTGTTTATTGTTTTGCCATATACAGTTAGAATGAATCAAATGTGTCAAACCTACTTAAATAATAACCTGATATTTCTCATAACAATATTTATATTCTTTGTAATTTAAATGAATTTCTGGATTCACCAAAATGTTGCATTTCTAATCTATTATATAGGTCTAAAGGTAAACTATTATAAAAAATTCTACTTATGATATTTCTACGGTAAAGTTTTACAGTTTTTTCTTGCTATTGAGGAATTTACCTAGTCTTCAACATTAATGTTACTAATATGTTTATGGATTTATGTGTAAAATTTTAATGTGATCATGTATTTGGTGCTTTGAAAATATTCCCTTGGGTATGTTTTAATCCTAAAATGTAATATGTTTCTATTTAAACTACATTCTCCTATTTTATTTAGGGCATTTTTTAAATTTAAATTTTCCATTCACCTTGGTACTGCCACCCACATTCATGGCTTAGGTATTTATGATATGGTTTTGAGAGAGCTCATAAACATTAATTTTTAAAGTCAGTTTAAAAATACTATTGAATAATCTTATGTTCCTGTAATAAGATTTAAATTGGAGGTGCGTGTACGTGTGTGTGTATATATATCTGATATTACAGACAAATCATAAATAAATTTTAAATGAAGAAACAATTCATTAACAATTTGTCAAGCCTTTACTGAAATATCACTCTTTCAGCAAGTATTTTCCTGGCTTGTATTATACATTTTTTTCTATTTTTCTTACACACATGTGCATGCACACACGCATAGAAACATCTTATTTCCCTGCTCTTCTTTAGTTTTTCTGAGTACTTATTGAGAGAGGGAGGGAAGGAGGGTGGGAGAGAGAGAGAGAGAGAGAGAGAGACAGACATTGATGGGTTACCTTCTCATATGAGCCCTGAGCAAGTATTGGACCTGCAACCTAGGTTTGTGCCTTGACTGGGAATCAAACCTGCAACCTTTCAGTGTATGATGCTACTATGAACTGGCCAGGGCTGCTTTTCTTTTTTTTTTCTTATGCTATTGGAATTTATGCTTCATTTAGTCAGGAGTTTTTGTTTTTTTTGGTCACTGCTGTATTCCTAGTATCTAAAACCATCCACATATAGTATGCTACCCACAAATATTTAATGAATGGATGAGCAAGCAAGTGATAATTACATATCCTTTTTTTTTTTTTTTTTTGGCTGGAACACCTAAAGGAAATGACGTAGGGATCTTCCCTAATGTTTTTTTAAAAAGATTCTGGGTAGTTAAATTCTAGGCGAAATGTAATTAAAGAGAAGTACAAGTAATCTCTGCTGATTCCTTCACAGACAGAAATCCAGGTGAGGTTGTTAATGAACTTTCCCCTTAGATTTATAGAATTTCCATGAGAGGTATTTGAATGTAGACTAGTAAGTGTATTTTACAGGAGCCTGATGATCATTCTAACGGGCTTCCTCCTGTCAAGCCATGATGTGTGCAAGACCGCTGTCTTTGTTCATATGCTTCCAAATTGTGGGCATTGTCAAACTGGGAGCCAGCTATAGAAGTCAATTAGAATGTGAGTTTTGAGAGTAGCTTAGTTAGGATAAAGAGGCAGAGTTTTTTTACTCTGACTTCAGAATGTAAGGGAATGAACAGCTTTATAAATATGAATTAGGTTTTTATGTTTCAGAAAAAATATTCATGGTATCAGTGAAACTCATTGTAAAAATAGTACTTTTATAATTTAAAAATTACTGTCATATGCATTCTTATATCTGTTTACAAAACAAGACTGTATTTAGCACAGCAAATGTAATTTGTGTCTTACAGAGGAGGAAAATTAGAGTCCTAGAAATTGTACAAGTACCTAGCCTGTCAGACTCTGAACTTGAACCTGGGGCTTCTAACCATATACCATTTCCCCACTGCCCTAGGCTATTTATATTTATCATATAACCTTTTGATCCACATTGCTGAACATGGCACCCCCCAGCTTTGAGAGTCATGAACTTTAAGGAGCTCCTTTCTGACTTCATATTAAGCATCGTCTGAAGAGCCACATTTTCATGGTTTCACAGCACTGCTTTCTCTCCAGTGTCTCAGCAACTCCCTTTGCACTTTTTCCTTTCACCCTTCATTGTATTCTCTGCTCCACTGACTGATTGCCTTGAAGTGGCTGAAGCCTCTGTGGAGTCTAGAGTGCCAGCCCACATTCTGTATTCATGTTAGTATGGACAGGAGCCATTCAGTACAATTCTGTTTCTTACATTTGTGTAGATGTTAGGGGTCACATAGAGAAACTAGATGCTTCTTTGGCTCCTTCAGAGGTAGAAGAACTTGGTGACTGTAATTGATGTATGTAAACTATTTTAAGGTGAGTTCTAAACATTTTTCTTATTTTGTCTTTTAAATATAGACTTTGAGTCTTCTTCATATACTGTACTTGCCAATGATTTATAACAGGTACTGCTTGTTAAAAAGTTCTGAGTCTGTTAACGCTGGTGTCTATATATATAAAAGCCTAAGCGACTGAACGACCGTTTGACTGGTCGCTATGATGCACACTGACCACTATGGGGCAGACGCTTAATGCAGGAGCTGCCCCCTGGTGGTCAGTGCGCTCCCACAGCGGGAACACCGCTCAGCTGACTGATGGCCGCCAGACGCTGGGCTCACGGCTGGCAAACGCAGCTGTGGCAGTGTGAGCCTCTCCTGCCTCCGTGGCAGCGCACTACCAAGCCAAGACGGCAGTCAACATCCCCTGAGGCGTCCTGGATTGTGAGAGGGCACAGGTCAGGCTGAGAGACCCCACCAGTGCATGAATCTGTGCAC